ATGCTGCTCTTTCTAGACACTATAAGGTAAAAAAAAAAAGATATTTATACAATATTTATACATATGTTTAAATAACAACCACTATCTGTAATTGTTTGTACATGTTATAAAGTAGAGCAAATAAAAATATTTCTAAAAAAATGTTAGATTTTATGAAAAATATGACCAAATCTGAGTGTAGTTGAAAAAACCCACCTCATACAAAAAGTGATGTTTGGAGGCTGAACATCTAAAATAGTGAGAAAGAATAATCTTGCTTTATTATGTTGATTGAACTCTGTCAGCAGCTGCTGCAACATGAACAGCAATAACAGTCTAATCAGAATCTCTTCTTGCTTATTGATGATCAGTTCTTCTAATGCTTGGGAAATGTTGATCAAATGATTAACTAAGACGGTAGCAATAAGATCTAGGGATGTACCAATAGGAAAATCTGGGCAGATATTTATATTAATATTGCTGCAGTATTTGAAACTAGATGGAACTAGATATCGGTTGTTAATAATCATACAGCTGTGACGCCCTCTTAAGGTTATTGCCAAGACATTTTAATCAGGTGAAAGTACAGACTTCAAATTGAACATTGCACCAACTGAATTCTCTATTTTCAGCTGTTCTCTTGCAGATTTACTGCAGTCTTTGAGATAATAGTCCTGCTGGTGACACTGTTTTGGAGCCATCACATAGAAGGTCTCACCTTTGATTCTAGGATTATTTGATACACAGGTCCACTGCTGATTAAAAGACTGTAAGGTGCTCTGGGTCTGAAGCTGCAAAACAGGCCCATCCCTGTCCGCCATGCTGGACTTCTGGTACACTATGTTTGAGCTCATGTGTCCTGTAGCTGAAACCTTAAAGTAGATCCTCATGGAGGTTTTGTGGTTTAGTTCTGTCAAAATAGTGTTTTTTTTTTTTTTGTAGACAGAAGCTTCTTTTTTTGGTAAAATAACCAATTTTGTTAACGTTTACTCAATATATTTTAACATTTGAGAGACACAAGGCCCTTAGGTTTCTCCAGTTATTCATACACATTTTTAATCTTATAGTATAAGCACCTATAGACAAACAGATCTACATTATCTGCTGCATCATCCATGCCAAATATAGTGAAATATTTATAACCTGAATGAATATTAAAAAAAAATTAACTCATTAGGGTTTTCCAAGCCAATAACATTTTCCAGATTTATTTTTTTTAAAATAAAAAGTATCCCCAAGGGCTGTTTTATCTAACTGATCAGCTAAAACCAAAGTAACAGGAGAAACATTCAGATGTGTTTGTTGTCTTTTTAATAATTACCGTCAGGCAAAACCCTTACGAACATTACATTTATGACAGGTATTCTTACAGTACAAGACAGAACTCAAGGAGATCAGAGCCAGTGGCATGGCCACATCTGACCGCTATAAAGTAAGACATTCATCGTCATTTAGATTGTTCCAACTTTCACAGAGTTCACAAATGTATTCTGCATTTGACTCGTATCAAACACAACAGTTTTCTTGATTACCTAGCAAATTCTAAAGACCTCAATAGAAACAGTACAGTAGAAAAAAACAAAAACAAAACATAAGCAGAGGAATTCCTGATTTTACTGTTAAGATGAACGATGTACAATATATTGCTTTCAGGTGCTCAACTTTAAAATGGGTACCTCTCCTAAAGACACATTCTTTAAAATTCACCATCCTCTGCTATTTTCTGGTGATTTTCATCTGCCAGCAGGTTAGACGGAGGTGCAGCAGTCAAATCGTTAAACCGCAGGAGGAGCTGCTTTTTAGGAGAATTTATCGAGCCAAACATACAGTAGGACCAGCAGCCCCTCCAGAGAATTGCAGCTTCCCTTCATTCACCATCTTTCCTTGTTAACCATTTATTTTTAAGGAGTTAAAACAAAATACTAAAAACAATTCATGATCTCAGAGTATTGAGCCTAAGACACAGCATTGAGTCACAGATGGAGGAGAGGAAAAATGAAAACCTAATGACATATGGTGAGTATTAAAAGCTTCCATATTTGATGTTACACAATTATTAAAAAAGGTAAAACAGGAGGCAGCACAGTTTGGACTCTAGTCTGATAATGAGGCTCTGTTTGGAGTATTTAGTGCTCGAGATCAAACGTGTTCTATAAAATATGAAAACGTGTTGAAGAAACAAAGAAAAGAAAAAAACACGCCAAAATCCATGTTGCCAGTGAATGTAGAAAAGTGGAGTATCTGGATGCTTCCAGACAGAAGCCTGATTGTTGTTTAAAAACATGGACACACGTGTTGGTGTTCAGCAGGACAGACCTGCTAACACAGTCTTCAGGCCATTATCTAAAAAGTTCCTCCTGCAGGTGGAAAAAAAAAAACCTGCAGCCACATTTATAAAAAGGTTTTCCTCCTATCAGACACAATCCACCTTCTAAACATCAGTCAATAATAGATGTGGCAAGCTTCCATCTTTATCATCTCCAACTACAGATGCATCTGAGTTCATTAGAATATCTCAGTCAAGTTTTTTCAGTGATTCAATACAAAATACAGAGCCATGGCTTTCAGCTCATTAACCAAAAATAGTCTCTCAGAAATTAAAAATATTACTTAAGACCAATAACCCAATTAAATATATATTTTTATGGCTAACATAATGTGGTCAAGTTGAATTGATAGCTATTCAGTAGACAGAAGAAAGAATGTTTCACCTTAAAGGTAAAACACCAAAAAAGTTCAAATCATTGGAAATTTGAGTGGAAGGAAAAAGTTCCAGAAGCAGCAGTTTTTAAAGCAAAGCAGATTCATGAATTTAAAATGATTTACAACTGAACTGGACTGTATTCAAAGCCAGAGCTTCGAGATCACAACTGGCTTATAGCTAATGCTTTCAATGTGTTGAATCTAAAAGAACTAAATCTGAATTAAGATCCACTGTGATCGGCTTCTGTCCCCCTTTACCAAAACTCCTTACGAGATGCTGAGTGCATTCTAATCATCGAGGAGGACGGAAAGTTTTCTGGTGTATTTTTAGAGTGATGATGGAGCAGGAGATGAAGAGACAGAATGGAGCTACGGCTGCATCAATACATCTGCTCCCAGAATCCACCAGTCAGTATTATAACTTTTTTTTTCTGAGAAACTGGATTTTAGTGTTTAACTACCGTATTTTCACGACTATAAGGCGCAGTTAAACGTCTTTTTTTTCCCTCAAAATGTGCGGTGCGCCCTATGGTGCGGTGCGCCCTATGTGTGTTGTAACTGCGACTTTTGAGACCACCTCATTGAGGAGATGATGAAAGAGTGGCTGAATGTAAGGAGACCAGGTGTTTTTTTTTTCCACCCCTCACCATCGCTGTTAATATGTAACTCCATGCGTGCCCATCTCACAGCTGATGTGAAAAACATGGGGAAACAAATTAACGCTGTGCTCGCTGTTCAACCGCTCAACATCGGTGTGAACCGGACCCAGCAGGTGCAGCAGAAGCAGCGAGTTTACATGCAAAGTCAATGGTTGACGCGCGTATAGGTGCAGCAAAAGGTCCTGCAGCGCGTTTTGGTGCAGCACGTCGGGAGCGTTTAAGCATCTGAAGCGCCGCCAACGCGCTGCTGCAGCTCAGATGGAAAAATTGAAGTTTTGCTGCTGGACGCGCCGCATCAACCAATCAGAGAAGCAGATCTGGGAGCTGACAGCGAGACAGACACAGCGCTCTGATGACATATGATATTAAATGAAAAGGGCTGGGTGGATGCGTGGCTGAGGCAGGTGTATCTGAGAAGACTAGGTGGTTTTTTCCACGCATCACCATCGCTGCGTGCCCATCTCACAGCCGATGTGAAAAAAAGGTGAATCAAATGAACGCTGTGCTCGCCGTTATCCCGGGGGTCTGACAAAGGAACTTCCACCGCTCGACATCGGTTTGAAGCGGCCGTTCAAAGTAAGGCTGCAAGCGGCGTGGGAGCGATGGATGACAGACGGAGACCAGACGGAGACCAGACGGAGACCACAGTTTCAGGATAATGGGAAGGCAGCACCGGGCAAGTTACGCCACCGTTTGTGGATGGATTGTTGATGCTTGGACTAACGTGTCTGCTGGCTCTGTTGTTCAAGCTTTTGCAAAAGCCGGCATTATTTCTGAGGAGCCGCGCTGCACGGAAAGTGACTCTGACAGCGAAGAAGGGGAAACTGGCATGTCTGATTTAGCGCAGCTGTTTAATTCAGAAACAGAGGATGATTACTTTGATGGGTTTGATTAATACTTTGTAATAAATACATGAATAAAGCACAATCATACTCAGTTTTGCTCCCGCTCTATTTTTCTACCTGAAAGCTTAATTCAACAGCTGCCTCTGGGCGCGTCTCCTCCTCTTCAGCGCGGTGGCTGGCAGGTGTTTTTTCATCTAAATAATCTAAATCTTGCAGCTATATTTGTTGTGATCAGTGGGAATAAAGTAGTTTTAATATATTTTTAAGTGAGAAAGTCCACCTGAAAACTTAATAATTGCAGTCAGTTCATCCAGATTATCTATTTCTGTCGGAGGCGCTCAGACCCCCACATACCAGCGTTGCACCGACAGTAAATCCCTTCAACAGCAGCCTCACCGCGGCTGCTGGCAGGTGTTTTTCATCTAAATAATTTTAACTGCAGGCACCAGGATACCGGCAATAAAAGCGAACATATTCCGTCGGCAGGTTTCAGGATTTTAAGTTAATTTAGGAGTGATCACAGCGCTGTGTCATCTGCGATGTTGGTCTGTCTCACGGCCAGCTGCCAGGTTTGATTAATACTTTGTAATAAATACATGAATAAAGCACAATCATACTCAGTTTTGCCCCAGCTGTATTTTTAAATACGCAGTAGAGGTATTTAAAGGTAGTAGAGGACATGTACCTGTATATAAAAAACGCGCCCTATAGTCCGGTGCGCCTTATGTGTGTGTTAAATACAGAAATGGGACACATAACTGAGAGTGCGCCTTTTAGTCCGGTGCGCCTTATGGTCGTGAAAATACGGTAATACCCGTGGGCTTAAGGGGTTAAACAAGGCATAATAATTGAATAAACTGAAATACCTGGATTATATGAACTGTATTTGAAAAGAATCCACATTAAACAAACAACCTTTGAAATGAATTACTGAAATAAATCAACTTTTTCTTGTATTCTAATTTGTAGAGATGCCCCTCTATGATTGATTTCCCATTTGCCTTCGCTACCATCTTGTTTGGCAAACCCTTTGAAAGTGACATCAGGGAAAGCATGAGACAACATCTTGTGAAGGGCAGCCCTCAGCACCAGTCACAGCGAGAGAGGGGCCTAGGCAGACCTCTGGGTATAGAACAGAATATAGGCCTGAGTGTTGCACACTTCCTCCACGCTGCAAACCTTCATCTCAGAGTCATTACAGTGGACCCAGAAACCTGAGGAACATCAGACAAACAGTTAAGCACAATAGTGAACCTGACAGCAGCGTCACGTGGAGACGTGTTTGCTCCCTCACCTCCTTCTGTGTTGTAGCAGTATGCGGTGTAGTGTCCTGAGCCAAAGCCTTTACCATGATGCATGACCACAGCCGACAGATCGTAGGTGTAGCCTCCTCTGTGGACAGAGTGACCTGAGTCTGTGCAGCAGTACGGTTTGATGTTCAGAACCTGGTCAAAGGCCACATGGACGCCGATTTTCTCCCTGTGGTTCCGGCCTGACCATCTGCAAGAATTGGCATTAAGAAACAATAGTAAACTCCTGTCCTTCAGTACGTTCAATTCTGCAGGAAAAGAAAAAGAAAACAAAGCAGGGAAACGTGCCTGAAGCGTTTGAGGTGCAGCCGTAGAACCTGAGGTAAGCGGTAGATCAGAAGCTGCTTTCGTGCTTCTGACAGAACTAAAGGTTTGTGGGAGGATTTTCTTCTTCTTTCTGAAACCAACAAGTGACAAAAAGTTAAACAAAATTATTGTAAATAAAATACATAAATAATACTTCTAATATATAAATTAAATAAATAAATGATTACTAATGAGATTATCATTTACTATAATGAATAAAAACTAAACTTAATTGAATTGTACCTACTGCCTCCATTTTATTGGCAGCCTTTTACATATTTATTATTTATAGATTAGTGCAGCTACAGTCTGATGTTTTTATCAGAGGAATTCAAACACACATCAATATGTTGGTGCTGTTTTTTTTATCTATATTTTCTGGTGAGCATCTCTAGTTAGCAGGCATCTAAAAAACATTTTTTAATGAAAAGTTAGATTTTTTTGGAACTTGTAGAGCAATTTGGAACTCAAGAAAAATGTTTTCAGGTATTAAAAACTAAGCTGAGCAACTAGGGACCCACAAAAGTATTCACATCCCTTTTTCACATTACAGCCAATAATAAATAACAATACTCCCATGCTACACCTCGGGTGGCAGAAATGCTGTCCCCAACCTAGCCACACCTGGTTAGCTTAGCAGTCACACGCTAATTTTTGTGTAGCCTCACAGCCAATCTCCAAAAAAAGAATTAAATAATGGAGACTGTTAAATCCTCGGCGAAAGTGGAGGGGAGCCCCAAGGAATGAACCTGCCCGTGTGGTAATAAAATTTCAAGCTGGGACAGCAATCCCTCGTGTGTGGTATGTCTCGGTCTGAAACACACCCAGCCAGCCCTCGAGTCTGTGGAGAAGTGCTCACACTGTAGCTTGTCCTCCCTGAAGGTGCTTCGTCACCGTCTGGCTCGTCAATCAAAGATGTCCGGTAGCGACCCGGCAATGTCCTCTACGGCATCGACACAAGAACCAGCCAACCATGCTGTATCTTTATCCACCGAGACAGAAGTCGGACCAAGCTGGGGAGAAATCCTTGATTCTGTGGACCCACTACCACATTAAAAGCCCAAGCTAGGTCTCGTTTCGAACCAGCTCGATTTGCTGATTGAGGGGGACAAGGTGCTCTCTGACGGAGTTGGAGTCTATTTGGATTGCAAAACCTGCTCCCTCGGGCTCAGAACAATCTGGTCATGACGGGTCCCCGTCTGAGCTGGATTTTGGCTTGCATGACGTGTGCAAATGCTAGAGATCCAGTGGTCAGAGGTCCAGGCTGAAGCTATCCACTTGCATTTTAACGGGAAAAAACCGCCTAAGACCCGCAAGACATCCAGACAACTCCTACCAATCTTCCTGGAGCTGCTGGAAGAATTGGCCGTCTACTGGCGCAGCAAGCCATTTAAGGCAAAACACCTAGTGGCTGGGAGTTCAGTCCTGGATTGCAATGGGATGGAAAATTGCAGCCTCCGCCAAATACCACCTGTCGAGCTGGCTGTTGCAACACACCTGCACCCGAAGACTTCCATGTCAGAGGGAGGTCCCGCCCTTCCATCGAGAGTGGACCGTTTTCAGTCAAGCCTGACTGATAAGTCCTACAGAGCAGCTGCGCTTAGTACGCGCTCTAAATGGCTCCTCTATGCTCATGGCCTATTAAGAAGAGCTGGAAGAGCAAATGACCGCCGCACCCGATGCTTTGCTCTGGGAGGAGGTGTGCATCATTACTGATCATTGCCTGCATCTCCATAAGGCGATCCAGGCGATGGGCAGATCTATGGGACTAATGGTTTTACAGGATAGAGCCAGGTAGTTGAATCTCACCACACGGCTAAGGAGAAGGAAGACGTCCTTGACAAACCCGTATTACCTCAAGGGCAGTTCAGGGAAACGGTAACCTCCATGCAAAAGAGTTGGGAGGAGAAGAAGAGGGACAATGAAGCTCTAGAGCTGTGCCTTCCCAGACGTATGTTTCCCCAAAGCCAAACCTTTGCCCAGGCAGCAGCCCACTGCCCCCCTACTTTCAGGATCCCAAAACTGCTGAAGAGCCAGGCAGCAGTTCCTCCCACTGACCAACCAACCAACTAGAAAACCGTTTACTTTTCTATTCTTTTTAGCTGTATGCAAAATGTCTCATTAGGCTTTGAGGTATAGTGTTTTTGTAATGGATGACCTAGTTAACTAATTTTCACATCAACATGACTAAATATATTTTTTCCCCGCAGTAATTTCAGTTGTAAAATGGAAATGCGGCTTCAAAAGTTTCTACTAACTGTTGCAGTGGTTGCAGGCGTAGATGTTGCCTTCCAGAGCCTCCATCTCTGTAAACTTGGACAGCATCTCTATGAGGGTGCAGCTGCGCTGGTGAGCAGTCGCTCCAGAGCCTTTGTTCCTATGGTGATACCGCTCTGGAAACTCTAGAGATAAATCCCAGAATGGCTCCACCGTGTTGGACTTGTGCTTACAGGACAAACACGTCACCTAAAGACAGTAGAGGAGCAGAAAAAAAACAAAACACCATGCCAATAAATTTGCATGTATTTAGACAAACATGTTTGAATATTTTCCATTACTTATCTAGAAACTTAAACTACCAATTTCTTAAACTACCAATTTATTTGAAACTTATTACAGATTTAATGTATTCAATCAAATGACAGGAAAAATACCTAAACATACTAAATACAGGAGATGAACAACAATTATATCCAAAGCAATTATTGACTCTAAATTCAAATGTTTGTGTATGTGCGTATATGTAAAGATATCGTTTAACAAGCACCATAGGTTGTAATGTTTTTTTCTTCTCATCCCAAACTTACACTACATGGTGTTGTATCAAGACCAGTGTATATCAAAACAGAGGCAATAGTAGGACTTTTAGGGGCAAAGACCAAGTCGAGACCGACCAACGTCCCACATCTCATTCCACAGTAAAATATGATCAAATGTTGAAATCGGTCGAAAAATCGACAGAATAATAATTAGTTGCAACCCTAGCTGTCTGTGGAAGCAAAACAAAGCTGTACCCGCAGCGTAAGGTGCGTTTCTCAGGTGAGGTTCACAGTGAAAGAGCGGATATCTGACTCACAGGCCACAGGAAGAATCACAGCCTCCATGTTTTCCCTCTATATACCCGTAGCATTCCGGGTGTTTTATAGCTACTTCCCCTTAATAAAGTTTAAGAAGTTTCCAGCACAGACAGCAAATGAGGAATAGAGTTGCAAAAGGGTGGGCGGATAAATGATAAGGGCTGCCTTACTGCAATATTAAGCAGATAAATAGATTCAATGACATTTGCACACTTTGGACCTGACATAAAACCCAGAGCCCTAAAAGCATTTAATCTTAGACAAGACTATCAAAAAGTGGTTTTGTTCAGCACTGCACTCTGCTCCAATGCGCTGTTTTGGCTATATACATCCCAGTAATTGATCTAATGTGTGTAAATACTAGCATAACCAAATCAATACACTCATAAATCATCAATTTACCAATCTCTTTGAGGAAGACTAGCTGTCTTTAGTGAATCATTTTCAACGTTTGGATGGTGTCCTGCAAAAATGGAGCAGAGTTAAAATTTGCTGGTGTACCGAACCTCGCCACTGCAATGGGGAACTAGTGTAATCCCCTCACTGAATGCATCGGCTGCATGTTTTTGTTACAGAGTTCACAGCCAGCAGAGCCTGGTGCAGTGCAAATTGCGGTCGCCTTTATCTACTAATTTTATAAATATCTGTTCAATGGGTGCTTGCATTACTAAAGACGCAAAACCAACAAAAATCTTTTATGAGCTTTTTTTATGAAAACCATAGAAGATGAAAGAAGCCCTTTAAATGGAAGTTATGATAAGGCATGTCTGAAGTTTTTATGGAATACAAGTGTGCAGGTGGCTTTGTGGGCAAAGAGGGAAAAGGCAAACCCACATCTTCTGCAATATTGCTAACCGCCTGTGCACACTGCTAAAACTCAATAAGCTAAACATGCTTGTTTTCTTGTGAAGATGTATAAGTTTAGATCTGTGGTAATAGTTTTCTTTTTTCCTGTTGCTGTGACTGTTAAAGAGACATTACAACCTTTGGATCCTTATTAATTTATCTAATGCACAAAATCAAACAGACTGAAAACTGGAGCAGAGATCTGTATTTTTTTTTTTTCTTTATGGAAATTGCACAGCTTCACTGAGAGAGAGGAGCTGTAGCAATAAAGCAATACGATCTGCTTCTAGTTTTAATTAGAGATGCAGCAATAAACCAGACAGAAATCAGCCATTTCTCTTGATCAGCTCAGATCTGCGATCTGGAAATCAGAAACCGAAAGATAGGAAAGGACATTTTATTTCCCTTCACCATCTGTTAAATGTAAACTAATACCTGCATCAAGAAACACTCAACTGATTAAAAAATCCCCAACATCTGAATCAACAGTTGGACATCAAACAAAGACTGGAACCAGTGTTGGCCGGAAATGATCCAATATGTGCATCTCTAACAGGTGCAACTAACATCTGATGAGCTGGACTTGCTATGATACATGGACAGTCTCACCTGACTCAGCAGCTGTCCATGAAAGATGGTGTTCAGAACCTTCAGCACCTGCTTGGACAGCTTCCTCTTAGTGATAGGGATAACTATCCGCCGCTTGGACCCCTCTGTGTCGAGTTCCTGCTGCACCTTGTCCAGAAGCTCACACAGGAACTCCTGGGCGTCTTGCTGGTCATATCCACGGAAGGCCGGGATGAGGTTCCACACGGAGTGCAGCATGGCGAAGGGAGATACGAGAGTCCACCGGCCAGACCACATGACCCTGAAAAGTGTATGTAGCTCGTGGCACAGAGACATTTGCTGGCGAGTGGAGCAGCGAAGCTTTTTGGGCTGGACCAGTTCTGCAGCCTGCGGGGAGGGAGGGACGCTCTCTCTTACAGGCAAATTCCAACAACCCGCCTTACCCATACGTCCAAGGGGGTGATCTGACAGTGGTGTGGTGCCGCTACTGACAACTGCTCCCGTCACCCCCTTCATTCCCTGGGAGTGGTTGGTCTTGGCCAGCAGCTCCTCAGTCTCACACAGGTCCAAAGTGAGAAAACACTCCCTGAATTTCTGCAGGTGACTTAGCACTTGCAATATTGAGTTCATGTAGCATGTGTTTCCCAAGTTGCGCAGACCGGTGACACCTGGAGCCCGTCTCCTCCGTGTAACCGCGTGCGTTGAGTAGTATCTCCGCAATCTAGCGGCTCTGCTTATCTCTGGAACACTGCGGGGCAGGGTGAGTAGAGAAGGCTTCTTAGGAGGTGGAGGTAGGCGTTCTGGGGGCTCGCGAAATTTGCGAGGGATGAGTGTCATGGTTGAACGTGGCGCCTGAGTAAGAAGCCTGGCACTCTTTCTGGGGGGAATGTTGCCAAGATCTTCCAGTAGCTTCCTTTTCACCTCCCTCTTCTGTCTCCTGACCTCCTCAAGTTTCTCTTGGCGCTGATTCTGAACCTCCTGGTGTTTGTTGATCCATTTCTGGAGCATCCTTCCCAGAAGCATTTTCCTCCTGTGGCGGAGGGCCAGCTGCATGGCAGGTTCCCTGCCTTCCCAGGCTCCGGTGGAAGAGCGCAGTGACCGCCTACCTGGGCTCCGAACCGTAGAGAGGGCACCTCTGAGGAGTTTCAGGTCTCCCTCTGCATTGTCGTTCAGAACATAGTCTCCACAAGCAAAGCAGAAGACATCCAGCTCACGCACCTCCATGGCCAGTGGGTGTTGTGACTCCTCAAAGTGTTTGAGAAAGTGCTCCTCTATGAAACGTCCACAGGCTACGTGGGAACACTTGAGGCAGGCCCACACTGAATCGGTGGTGCTGCACTCCACACAGTGCCATTTCTGTGGATTGAGAATTGAATGATCTTGGCCCAGGCGAAGGCGAACCACGTGCTTACAGCGATCCATCTGTCCGGATACACATGTGGCCTCAGTTAAAGGACACACGTCCTGCAGCAAAGCAGCAACTCATTCTGGGAGAATGGGGAAAAAAAGGAGCAGATTAAGACTTAATGAGAAAGGACTGTTTGAAAAGAAACATTTTATGGTCATCGTTGCTTAGACAAAGGAATACCGCTTTGACTTTTCAAGGACCCGTTTCCCCTCAATGCTTTGTAGAACAACCTGACAGCTGCCAATTGTTTAGGATATATTTCTACCTGCTCTGCATTTTCTCAGATCATTTTGCCCATTTGACTTTTTTTTAGAAAACAGCACAAGCTCCAGCAGATTAAATTAATCTGCGTGGAGCAATCTTTAAATCTTGTCACAGATTCAGATTTAGGTCATAATTTTTACTGTGCCAGTTTAACATGACTATGATTTGATTTCCACTCTGACTGCATGTTACAGGTTCCTGTTCTGCTTTGGGGTAACCATGTTCACTATAAGGCATGCATTCGACCTCAGACGGGTATTCTGGTGCGTTCCCTTTCTACTTGGCAGGATTTCCTGAGTCTGAGTAGGAAAATACAACTGGAAGGTGTGTGAAAGTTATCAATTTTGGCATTCAACACCACAGCTACCCTCATCAACGGTATATAAATGTTTATGCTTTGACTAGCAATTCATCATTTGTGTAAAATTACGTTTCTCGTATGCCTACTACTTTTTAGTGTTCATTAAATGCCAATCTTCAAGACTTTTAAGATGCATAAAAAACTGAATGGTGTTATAAGCATCGTTATAACAGTGGTCATATTCATATTAACAAACCGTTGTTCTAGTCAATGGATTAATTTCCACAGCCTCGTGAATTTGAAAGAATCCTCATCCAACCGAGTAATATAGTCAGTGAGGGGTAATAGTTGCTCTATTAATACAATCTCCCACCTTAGTTACAAATCTCTGCAGCTCCTCCATCATTAAACTGCATTTAACTTCACTTTTAACCACCTGGGGGGTTCCTTGACTCTGTTTTATTATCATATACCCAGTTCAGTGCTCACACCAACTTCTGAGGCCTAATCAGAATAGCTGGATTCTTGTTGAGATTCAACTAAACTAGATACATAGGCACTTTTACATTTCTATTTGTGAACATTTTTGAAAGCTATCCATCAGCCACCTACTACACAAAGGAGAGAAGAGGGGCTAATGGAAGCTGAAATTACAAAAATTGGCCATCTGGAAGAAACGCATCAATAACAAACTAGAAAACGTTACATATTATGAATAATTCACATTTTAAACATTTTGTAACAGTCATGAAGCCTGTGGTTGCAGAAGTATGATCAGGCCTTTAGATGTAGCACTCTGTGATTGCATGACCTCCTGGATGCGTTTCCAATGATCTTTTGGAGTAATTTTGGTGGCAGCCCATCCTTTTCCAGAAAGATTGACCTCTTCCTTATTTGTTGATAATGGCCACTATATATATATATATATATATATATATATATATATATATATATATATATGTGTGTGTGTGTATGTGTGTGTCATTTTAAGTTCAACATATACAATTGTTTTTTTTTACATAAATACTTGTTAACTCAGTTAAACGCTTGGCATTAAAATTTCAGGCAATCTGAACATTAGTTGTGACAAAGTAACCAAAATGACCAAAAATGTTTTCATAATCAACATATTTGCAGTATCTCTTTTCAATGAATGCTCCTTTCAAAATGCTACTAAAAAAAAAACAGCGTTCATGCGAATTTGTGTGATTTATCATTCTTATTTCATGTAGGAAAATACTTTGCATAAGGATTAGTGCGATTATCATAATTGTTTCCACCATTCTTCACTTTAGGGAAAGAAATACAGAAAGGTTAATCCTTTGTGATGTGCTCCTCTAGCCGTGTAACTAAAATATTGCTTAAAAACTAAAACATATATATTACTGAGGGGAACCCATGAACCCTCTTGCACTGGAAAACTCTTCCTAGATATACACACAAACCGTGTTCTGTTGTCCTGCTGCCGCCTGCATGGACCATTACAATCGCATTAACGCAGATTTTTAACATTTCAGCACATTCGCTTAGTCTATGTGTGTCTTTATCTGCTATCCGACTGGAAGCGGAGTGTTTTTCACCAAGCCATGCTAGCCTGTAGCCAACCATCCCCATGTTGAGCCAGAACAAAGAACAGTCGGAGAGCCGAACTTTGTTGCTGTTAGCCCAGCCAGCAGTAAGTTAGCTAACCCCCGCTAGCCGCTAGCTACAGCGGCTCTGCTCTGTGCTTAGCCGCTGCTGCTAAACCCCCTTTGCTGTGTTTTATCTGCTCCCCACTTTGTTATTTAAACCGATTATCTTCTTGTTGCTAAAGAAGAAGTGGCGTCGCCGAGGCTGCTAGCGTGTTTCAGCGAAGACAATTGAAGTTAACCCTGATGGTTGTTGTTGTTCGCTAACATTAACTAAGGGCTTAGCTCCCGAGCGAACCGTTTAAAAACTCCCCGGTGACATTCTCCGCATAGTGCCGTCTGCGGGGACACGCCGCAGCAAGGGCGCCAGCCATCGGTTGCACTCAATTTTAATAAAATTGCATAATCTGATATTTCGAAAGAAAAGTATGGTTACCATCGCCAGCATCCCTCCATCCATCCATCCGGTACACTGAGAAAGCTGCAGCGGCTTGTTGTCCTAACAGATTCAACAACCCAACTCTCGCAACCATCCCAGACCACGCTGCTCTGATTGGTCAGGGAATCAGGGCCAACCGGGCTCTGATTGGTCAGGGAATCAGGGGCAGCCGAGCTCTGATTGGCTGAGCAGCTGAACAACAGGCAGCAGGATGGACCATGCTACCGTCCACCCACCGACAAGCCACATGGAACAATAACCCTGAGCCGCTATGGAGGCTGCAGGACCGGGCGGCTGTCTGACCCGCTCCCGGCCTTTCAGATACCTGATAAAACGTCTAACTTGTGCAAGACGTTGGAAGAGATTTCTCTTCTAATCCCAGCCCTCTATCAATGCTAGTGATTCTTGTTGACAAAAAGTGTCATAAATGCAAAGCTGCTACCTTGCAGCACCAATGTTTCCCTGTTCTCACAAACTACTTTAGACAATGGGTAACTGGCAATTATCCAAATAAGACTTAATACATTGCAATATTTTATTAATAACAACTTCTATGACCTTCTTGAACCATTATTTTCAAGTAACAATGACAATTTTAGAATAAAATGGTTTCCACTATAAGGAAGCAGGTGTGAATTTGAACTGCAAACAGAAAATAGATGTAAAAAAAAGCAGTTATACAAAACAGCATACATTTGTCATAATCAACAATATTAGTGCTGCATTAGATAAAAAAACACAAAAGCAAATACAGTTATATATGTATATATATTATACATAAGTATATTCAGCCTTTTGCAAAAGCATTCAGACTTCCTGAACCGTTTTTACTCATTGTCACAATATTTTTTTATGTATTATATTGAAAATTGATGCATTAGACTAACATACTTACAGGAGTTACTGTAAAGTAAAAAAAAAAAAAAAAGGTTTGTTTTTTATAAGTCCAATTGATTTAATGAAAGCTATATTCTGTAAAAAACCTATTGCACCCAATCTCTTTTAGTAGTAAAGAGGCATTATTTTCTGCACTAATACAGCTGTTCCCTGAAGGTCTGGTAGGTTGCGTAGGCAGGGGTTAAGTTGTTAAAAAAAAAAAAATCACTTTTAACATCTCAGAGTGCTCTTCGTTATCTGAAAACAGGTTGTGTAAAGCACCTAAAGAATGGCTGTCCATCTAAACTGAGGAGAGAAGAACAGAGAAGGGGCCCCTGTGTATATCTGAAAGGGGTGCAGATATCTACACCACATCAGAATTAATATACTATCCTATATTACATACAATGGTGGCATGCTGTTCAGAGTTAATGTGAAAACAGATCTGCATTTCAATACTTGAAATGTTCTATCTAAAAATTGCTTTTCACTTGCTTAAGCATATCTTTGACTTGAGCAATTTGGTTTAAATAATTTTAGTCTATTTATGTGCTAAGTCAATACAAAGGTACACCTAAAGACGTGCACTCCAAATAGCTTACACAATAACTTTACAAAGTAGAAATTTATGGTGATAATATTTCAATAAGATACATTTTTTTGACAGCAACATGACAGGATGTAAGCAAAATCTAGTAGCATGAATAACTTTGCAAAGCAATGCAAAATGTTTGAAAATTAACTAAAATAACCTCTCGTTTATCCCTCCATGGAAATGTATGAACACCCGCCCCTTTTTGTAATGAAGTGCAAAATATTCTTTACCAGCTTTAAACTTTGGTGTGAAAAATGGAAATAGTTTTAGATTTCCTTGTGTCAGTACATTTGTAATCTTTTAGCCAATAGCATTCCTCCTTTCTGATTAGTTTTACAGTCTATGAAATTGTTTATGAGGATGGGTTATTGTGGAAAGATCATCTGGACCAGTTTTTTCCCAGAAAAGACTGTTGAAAATGTGACCAATCAATAAGGTTTCGAACCGTTTCATCAGATCAGCAATTTCTCTGCTTGGTTAACCAGCAAATATTAGTAGTGTTGTTTGTTTAAAAGAAAAAATGTATATTCAATACAAAGAATCCTGCCTGTGTCACATTGTTATACACAGGGGCCTCCTTTCAGGACATTATTATGAAACCTGAACAGCAAGATTTTATTATTTTACAAAATACAGAATATAAACATTTTATAGATGAGCTTACAGTCTAATCGATAGAAAAAAAGAACAAAAATAAGTAAAAAAAATTGACTTTTTTTATTTATCAAAAAAGAAATTCATCAAGTTAAGGAAATGAATGCGCAGTTGAATCTACAGAAAAATGAATGATGGGTTTGCATCACCTCTACAATATTAAGCTGATCCATAGGACCAGAATAAAGGCATCAATAAAAAAAAAAAAAAAGTTAAAGTATCAACGGACATTGCTTCCCGTGATCTGTAATTTACGAAGTTTGTTGAACAACTCCAGGTACTGAGTCATTGTGTCAACGCAGTCTGCCGGAGCAAAAAGACCCTCAGGTTTGGCAGCAAAGACAGTTGGAAGTTCTGGAACGTTGTTGCCAAGAAAAGACTGCATGAACTCCCTCATGAGGTTCCAACAGTCCCCTGGGACAACACAGGGGCAGTATTCAACCTGTGAGAAGCAAACTCTCAGTTAAAATAAAGGGAAAAAAACGGATAACCTTGTCGTGTCACTTCCTGCTAATATCCCATTCTGACCATACCTCCACAGATATCCCTCTGGCGCTGGAGCTCATTATGACGGTGCCGACTTTAATCAAGAAGTCACAGTAGCGATATCTTGAACCCCGACACTCCACCTTGTGTCCCTTGGCATTCTGAAAATGACTCTTCAGCTTCACCATGAGGACGTCAAAGTTGGTGTCCGCTGTCAGGCAGGGTCCTCCTTCAAACAGGGCCATGCAGCTCAGGGGAACCTCAGAGTTGTGCATCACGTATAAGAGCTTAGAGGGCTGACCTGTTACAAATAAGGCAAGGGTTTCACAAAGTTAACCTGCAAAATCACTCGACACTATTTAGTATTATAATCAGAAATAGAGCTTCAATCTTTATAAAACGTTACAACTTTAATCTGATTAAACACATATTCTGTGGTTCAGGTTCAATAGCAGCACTCTACCAATTACTAATATATTTTAGTAATCACTGAATTGAACCAGTCTAACAACATACAGTAGGCAAAAAATATAAAATACAGATTTCAAAGACACAAAGATGACTGCCATTTTAAACAATAGCTTCCATTACAAATGTGTGCAAAACTATGGTGATATTCTCCTTATTTTGAAATTATTCTTTTTTTTCGCAATTGTTTTTTTCCTTGTAATAAGAAATTCACTTATAATTGCACATGAACACATTTCTTCCAGTGATAAGACTTGAAACAAACGGCAGCTTCAGGTGTAAACACAGAAGATGAATCCATATTTCAGCCATGGTTCTAAGGGCGTCATCATCCTCCAACTATTCCAGCCTTCTTCTTTGTCTTTTTACAGCGCAGTAAGGTCAAGTACTCGATCACATGACTTGTGTGATGCAAAAAAATTGTTTCCCTTGCAGCTTTGCAAATATAAGAATTTCAATATGACTGGAAAAACACCTTATCGATCTGTAAAAAACTTTCTTTTTTTTTTTTCAAAAAAATTTCCATTTAACAAATTTATTGTTGTAATTACAATTAGCTCAACTTGATGACTCTAAACTTCTCATTGTTTGCTCTACAACATTTCAGGTAAATGAAGGCAAACCAGATACGTTTTAAGGCAGTACCTAAAACACATTGTTTTGGTGAGTTACATTATGGAAACATTGGGGACAATTTCCAGACGCCTGAAAAACAGCTTGAATAGTCTAGGAGCATACCATTTAGGGCTCCAACAAGGAATTATATTGCTCATTGATTAATCTGTCAACATTTTTTTTAATTACTCTATTACTAGAAAGCAAATGCTGATTGACAGAATACTTTTTTTGTTAAACAGAATTTGAACTTAGTCAACCAAAACTTTTGCCAATTATGGACGGGGCATTTTTTAAGGCAAAGAGTATGTCCACCATGCAACTAAAACAGTTTTTATTTTTGTATGCTTTTGGCTAACTCATAGCCCTGAGAGGGTTACCACAGTTAACATATATTTGATTTCTAAATGAGTTGCACTCTGGTGCACTTCTCAGAATAAACTATGTGGCATAACCAAGGTAGAAAATAATACAGAAATGTTGCATCTGAGCAGCTCAGTGATCCAGTTGGTAGCACTACTGCCTTACAGCAAGAAGGTTTTGGGTTCAATTCCCGGCCCAGAGTCTTTCTGCAGGGAGTTTGCATGTTCTCCTTGAGCATTTGTGTGCTCTCTCCGGGTACCCCGGCTTCCTCCCACGGTCCAAAAACATGACTGTTAGGTTATCGCCTTCTCTAAATTCTCATGAAGGAAAATGGATGGATGTTGCAGCATCTCAAGACAGGCAGACCGGAAGTGTATGTTTTAGTGAAAATGTGTCCCCGAAATGGAAACTGACCCTAAGCATAAAAAGGAAATGCATGATGCTGAACATTACCTCCTGCGTTGCCTGTAGACTGGTATGTCTCACAGTCCACACAAAAGCTGCCATGCTTCACGGCCCCCAGCTGCTCGAGTTTCTTGTGCAGGAGGTCCACTGTCTGCTGCACACTCTTCCCCTCCACCACAGGAACCTGGCACACACTGCAGGACAGAGAGAGTGAGCAGCGAGGAGCCAGGCGAGTTCTACTGCTCTGGTTTTATTCACAATGAATCACCAAAGAAAAGCGCCGCGACCGAGAAACAGACATTCTAATACTTGAGAGACAATATACACATTTAAAAGTAATATATATATATATATATGTATGTATAAACCACGGCTAAAAGGTAAATTGGGAGCTTACCATGTTACCCCCATCGATAACTTCCGTTCTCCTCTTTTGGATTTAAGTATATCCGGGTCACAAAAAAATAAAATGTAGAGATATTAACTTTTATAATGATAATGATAAAATAAATGCAAAAAAAATAATTTTACTTTTTTCTGGGAACTTATTTTGCATATTATCGTTTCCAATTAATTTTAATCGATGTATTATTTCGCTAAACTTAAGGTCGAGAATGACGTCACTTCCGTTGAGCTCGGCGTCTGCACGTGTCGCGCTACAAGGTGTTTACACTATTTGCCAAGCTGTGTTTATAGATTAGGTCGCTAATGCTAACATAAGACAAGTTCTATTATTGTTCCAGTCTGAGTTTTATTTTTTACAGTCATGCCCAAAGTAAAGAAATCCAAAGGAGGAGGAGAAAAGAGCGGCGGAGGAGCGGCAGTGGCGCTGGCAGACCAGATCCTGCAAGCGGACACGATCCGAGCCCGAGGCCGGGTGAAGGGGCGAGACGTCCGGACAGAAAATGAGGATGAGTACGTGGATGAGCGCCTGTCCAGGAAGATCTTACAGCAGGCCCGGATCCAACAGGAGGAGCTTCAGACTGAATATGGACTGGCCCCGGAGAAGAAGAAGAAGGAGCCGCTCACTGTTCTGGGTTAGAGGGCCTTTTTACACTACATGCAGTGCTGCCTTATTTAAACACAGAATGTGCACATGGTTGTTATTTTATTTATTTTTTTGTCAAAACATCTCTATAATCATTGTCCTCATCGATTTAGTATTTAGGTTTTAATTTATTAAATATATTAAATATAATGTGTAGTGGGAATAATACCACAGATTTCCTCAATCCTCCAGCTAAACATCATGGCAGCTCCATGCTGCTGTTTTTTTGTTTTGTTTGCTATTGCAGGGAAGCTGGTCAGAGTTAATGTGGGTATAGAGCTGAACACTAAAATAAAATGAGGCGTTTCTGCCCTATGTTATACATTTACTTTTTGAATACAAATATAGAACATTTTTTTACATTTTAAAATTTAAAGTGTTTTTTTTTTTAAGTAAAGAACAAAAATCATTCAGTTTGGTATATAGACAATTTCCTGATTCACATATTTCATGAAACACCTGAACTGACCGTTTGTTTGTTTTTCCTTCTTCTTCTTTTATGGCTTAATGGGAGAAGTTGGCTTTAGGCTGCTCTGCAAGGCTTTAGACCTTGGTTTGATTAACGACAATTTTAAAGCACATATCAAAGTGCTCATTTTGAGGCTGAATCAATATTTATTTTTGGTTATGTTCATGTTGGAGAATCCTGCTTCACAGCAGTAGGTTGAGCCAAACATACACAAAATTTACGTGGTCATCTTTGAGCACACCATTTAACTTTTCTGTCACCAGTTTACCGCAGTTCTTACAGCAGTCCACACACTTTCTTTCACTTCTTCTCGTCGTTTTCTCCTTCTTTGTCATCGCCTGGGTTACCAAAGGATTGCCTGCTGTGTCTAAAAGTAGCAGCAGCCCTGATTGACAAAGTACATTGACTAATTTTTATCACATGCAGCCTGATTTCAGAAGCTCTGGAGGGTTTTACCGTACAAACAGGAGAAGCAGCAGCAGTGAAATCAGACAACATGCAGTAATTTATAAATGTTTTAAATCAGGGTGGGTCTGGATCCGGACTGCTGTCCGCTACTACATGGCAATATCTTGATTCTGATTCAACCTCCAGCCGGACAACGACCATACACATTCACCAATGAGCTGTACTGTAGTATTCGGCTACATGGTTGTGATTGGGCATGACATTTAGAACCTAAATCCAGCTCAAAATCTGTGGCAATACTTGAAAATGGTGTTCACAAATTGAAACTTTTCATCTGCAACATTGTTGTTTTATAATGTGTGACATCATGATTGAATGAAAAACTTATTTCGGTTTAAAAGAGTAAATTTAACACATTATGTATACATATATATATAAATGTATTATTAAGTGCTAATAATATGATTTAACAAATCAAATACTTTCTTATCCTAATGTTTAGATTGGTTTCTTGCAATTATGAAAACAATCTTAAAAAAATGTGAGGCTGGGAAGTGAGGAATATTCAAAGGATAATATTGAGTGACTACCTAATGTCTTGTTGTTACTCTGTAATCCCCTTAAAGGCCCCGCATCTCAGGATGCAGACTCAGATGAGGAGTGGCCAGCGCTGGGAGAAGCAGGTGCCAGTGGTGCCGATGCAGAGTGTGATGCTGAAGTTGTTGTGGACCCCGATGATGAGAAAGCAATTGAGATGTTCATGAATAAGAACCCTCCAGTCAGGTAAGGACTAACCAGATTTTTTTAACCCACCTCTCTGTATTAGGATAGCTAACTGCTAGGTTACATTTTTCCTCCAGCAGTGAGATGGTTTTAATAATTTTCTTATTTTTTATTTTTCCTGATCCTTGCAGGAGGACCTTGGCGGACATCATCATGGAGAAGATCACAGAGAAACAGACTGAGGTGGGGACAGTGATGTCTGAGGTTTCAGGGCACCCGATGCCCCAGCTGGACCCAAGAATAATAGAGGTGTACAAAGGTGTAAGTAAGGTAAGTTGTCTGAAATGTGGACGAATGGTTGAAAACGAAGCTGCTTTTCTCTGGAGTCCCCAGGTCAGAGGTGTCCAAAGTGTGACCCCTGATTGAATTTCTAAAAATGGTATAAACTTGGGTTGCAAGGCCAGGTGGTTGGTATAGATTTTCATTTTTTTTAATCAGGGCAAAGTTAGTACAGACAAATTTAAACCTTTTTACAATAGAAAATTTATATTACAAAGCTATATTAGCTTATTTGTTGAACTAAAGCCATTTTCCTGTTGAGGGGATAAAGGAACTGCAGCCAAGTTGATTTATTGCTAAAAAGTGTCAGTATTAATGGGAAATGATTTTAAATAAAATCATGCTGTTGGTATAAATATCTAGATAGACTTAAGTATCTGTGTCTGCAGTCAAACCAAAGTAGAGAGTTATCAGCACTGTTCTATAAAGTCATTGTT